GGGCCCAACTGTCTCGTCTTGAAGATTCAAGCACAGAATCAAAAACAAACTGTACATATGAACGATCGATTTTGTGGGTTACAAATTGATTATTCCACTTTTGAAAAATGTGGCATGGAAGCATGCATTTAACCAAACTGAGCACTTTTAAAGGTTTAAACCGAACATACCCGATTAGATCCTCGAAGGTAAGTGGGATTATATTTAGAGGCAGGCTATATTCTGTTTGCTTCATCTTCATTCTCTGACCTTGAAAACGTCAAATATGTCAGTTGTTATAGATGCACATCGAACCGCCAAACAACTGAAAAGAGAGCGTACTTTCGCCCGAATTTTCGTTAAAGGAATGATAAACTAAATATACTTTGCAGAAACTGTATCAGTTTTGAGATAGTACTTTATGTCACGAAAATTGGAAAGATAAAAAATTAAACATCGAATAGTCAGCTCCCGCAAGGAGACAAGTGATTTCATTCAGGAAACGAAAATAAAAAAAAAATTGATCTTGGCAACGCCCTTGACTATCGACAGTTTTATGAGTGAATAAATTCCAAAGCATAAGATGAAACAGTAAAAGTATGGCAATAAAGTAGTAAAGATTCATGGCGTATTTCGCGCACCAGTGACGTCTCTCTTCTGAAGATGAACGGTAATTTATGCAAAGTTAACATTAAATTTTGACTGCTATCCAAGAACAACGATGACGTCTAAAATCAAAACTGACTCCATCTCACATTGTCAAACTTTTTCACGCCTCAAAAAAATCAACAACAATGAACTTAAACATGCCGATCGATCTTCGATATAATTAAATAGGAAATCGAAGAATGGGTTAAGGGACCCGAGTTTGAGCACTTAACGTCTTGTGATATAATCAAACGACATTCCCTTTGTTGTAACTAGTATTTATTCTCTGGTATATAAAGGCTAATATTCCATGCCTCAAGCCGTGTGGGCATGGAGTTTATTTGCCTTATGGTGAAGGCCTTTTAGGGATATCGGCTCCATTTCAGACATACAATTTCTTCATTTTAAGACCATGATTGCATTCATTCAATTTGAAGCCTTACTTCATTTTTTTTCGCCTTTTTCAATTCTAGCACCCATCTCTCTCTCTCTCTCTCTCACTCTCTCTCTCTCTCTCTCTCTCTCTCTCAATAAGTGCAGTGCCCATTCTCACTCATACTAAACACACTGGTTAATATCAGACATGACGACAATTTTGACGAATGATAACCCGGTGTTACATTTCCTTTATCAGACAACTTTTAAGAGGATTTCATAAAGAGATAAGATAAACTTTGTTCATTAAAATGTTTGAATATCTGGCCTTCTCCAGGGGTGTAAGTAATATTCTAAATGATAAATTAACAAAGTAGAAAGTCGAGCATCTCAGCTATCGCAACAAATACATCCGTCATAACCTCCGCTAAGATTTTACAATATTTTTTTCTGATTTTAGATTCATGAGTGACTTGATTAAATGATTTTCTGTCCCCAGGCAATGATATAGATAAATATTTCTATACGAGTATCTTTTTTTCTCAATAATATTTCATGCTTTCTACTGAGATATCTTGATGCAGATCCTATATATTTGTATATCTGTATGATAAGTAAGCGGGGAAAAAAGAAAAGAAAAAAAAAGAAAAAATCTGGGAGGAAAATGTAGATAAAAGAAAATGCTGGATCTTAGATTTGCAATTAGATAGAAGAAGCACTGTTTGTTTCAGTAAGGTTACACCAGAGTTCACACTCCCTGTTGACAACATCATTTTAGGAGGTTTTACGCTTCACCATGAAAATAAAAACATTAAAAAAAGGAACCGATACCATTCTTAAAGACTAGTAACTACAAAATGTTCAAACGCAAAAGGATGGTGCACATAAATCCCTGTGAGCTCTCTTCAATTTTATCTAAATCCAGCAAGACAAAGCGCCAGCACGTCTGATTCGGTGTGGCCTCCATTGTTAAGGAACAGGGTACAATACAACTATTGACATTGTCCGTGAACCAACACCGTTCAGTGTGACATGGGTTGATTTTGTTGACAGTTACATGAAAGATGGACGACATCGATCTCTGAGTCAACATGTGGGTCTGGTGAGGGCTGACAGGGTGAAACACAGAGCAGATGAAAACTGCCTGATAACTTATAATAGGACTGATGTCTTTGGAATCTCGGCATCCTGTTATTGTGCCTGGCGAGAGAGAGAGAGAGAGAATAGAGAGTAGAAAGCGTCAACGCCGCTGACTTATTCCCCTTTTCTCTTGATTGAAGAATTATACTTTTAAATATTTTCTGTGAAATCGAACCCGCAGCTCTCAAATCTGCAACTGAACACATGATTTTCAGAGTCCTATTCTCCACTAGTGTACATGCACTGAATAACCAGTTTTTAATTTTAATTTTTTTTTTCAGGCTGAACTTACGACGCCGTTACACACAAGATGATTAGGGCACTAGATTGTCTTCGTCTTATGTTCACCACGTCGACTTAATCAGAGAAAAAGACAATAATCCAGTTATTTCAATACAACTTCTATAAAAACAGATACATCCGGATACACCTACCCAGATGAACGGCACAGACGAGGAATATACAATAACTTAACAGAGAAAGCACAAGCTCTTCAATTATTACTTTTATTATTTGAAAACTCAAAATCAGTAAATGTGACCACCCCCTTTCACACCCTCGGCTAATTTGCTCAACACCGACCAGCCACAATGTTGACATCACGACAGGGTTTGATTGAACGGGAGCGGGCGATGAACACAGCTCGCTACATGATGGACTCGAAAGTGGGCCTCTGCGTTCTCAAAACCAACACCCATGAAGACCGACTTCACGACAAGGAGAGGAAGAAAATCGAGGCTCAAATCCGGAGAAAACAAATGCATTTTGAGCAGGAAAAGAAGAGGTTTTTGCAGTCGCAAATGTTGTACAACTTCGAGCCCACCATCATAGTCGAGAGACCCCCGAGTCCAGAGGCGTGGATGCACTACGAACAGGTGGGTTTCCAAATGACATTATCCTTTCTCTTCTAAAACTGTTGACCTTGTTCACTAGTTTTTAAAACAAAAACAACTATCTTGCACCCGAAAGAATATTGTACATTTTCATTCTATCTGAAAAAAAGCTTCAATTTTTTAAAGAACGACTCAGTTCCTTGAAGCCGTTCTATGATCACTGGCATAGACGTAGCTGTACATTTATGATCATAGTTACATATATAGGTTTCCAGTCAACAAGAGGGGGTTAAAACTTGCTTAATCAGCCTTATTTTAGTAACGTCTCCCATTAGGGTTATTCAGAAAATTATCAACGGACTTCACGCACGTTACTATGGCATTGAGGGGGCGTGTTTGAAAACCTTACACGCAAACTTTCGACTTTTGTACCCAATAAGTAATACGACCCTGTCCTTATGTGCTTTGTTTCTGACACATTTTGTTATAAAAGGATTCCAGATACTGGTACTACCAGTATTGAGCGCACTTTTTTACATACATTTTGTTTGCTTGTGACAGGAGTGCAATATGACACGTCCTTTCCAATGTAACAATCGATATGCTAGTACCGGAATAATACACTGTTCAAAACTTTGATCCATTTACTAGTACATGGGTGCAGAGTGCAGAGGGTTTTTTCTTTCCTTTTTTAATGATTGAGACAACACTTCCGCTGTAACGAATCTTGTCTATCGTCAACGGGTTCAGTTTCTGCAAATCTTCAGTTTGTACGAGGTATTTCTAGGGTGATCGCAATCAAGAACAAGCCTTAAATTGTTGTTTTTAAAAGTAACGGTTCACCTCGTCGCTAAAAAAACCAAGGTGAAAAAGGGGGCAGGCGGCTGGACAAGAAAGGCTCAAATCCCTACAATTCTTAGCGGTGTGCTTTAACAGTAAATACCACACAGCATACCCCGAATGTGCCATAAATTAATGTTTGCAGAACATTTTCAGGCAATGTTTTCTGAAATCAGCTGTTTGAAGTCATATTGGTTTAAGGAGCGATTGCAATAGCTTTACAGCCACCGTGTATATATACATAATTCACAGCTAGACAATCATTGCCTTATATAATTAATGACAAGAGGCATTTTTCGCGTGAGGGAATTTGGCTTTTAAGATCATGTCATCATCAAGGACCAATATTCAAGGGTTATTGATCAGTCTTTTCTTTGTATCGGCGTGTTTGCGTGTGCTTGACAAGTAAATATTCAGGAGGAAATATTAATATTTTACAACTCTCCAGGTGTTAGTTTCTCTCGTTGATGAAACTTTCAACACTCAGGAAAAGAACGAGAATCCAGCACGCATATATATTTATATGGATGTAACGCCAAGATTCGATCGAAATAGGGGCCTACACATCTTAAGTGTCAGTACATTTGCCTTATTAGTAAGTACTAAAACAAAAACTTGAAATAGACTGTGTATTACAAGAAAAAGGGAGCACACCGAAGTTCTTTTAAAGAGATTTACTCCCCCCCCCCCCCCCAACACACATATCTTGCTATTGCTCTAGTGCGAATGTTATAAGAGTTATATAAATATGACACTATCCCAAGAAATTAAGCGAAATGCAACCTCTTCTCCTGAATGCCAATGGGGGTCGTCTTGCTTGAGCACCTCGGTTATGGCACCCTGTTACAGACTATTGAAGTTTTAGGTAATCATAACGGTGTGTACCCTCCCCCACTTAGCTCTTACGACATAAAGAAGGTCGAACAAGACAAACAGTTTGTTTTATCGACCGTTGGTACTTCATAAACCATTTGATACAATCTTGTCACTGGAGAGAGTATTTCAAAAACCTAGGACTATTTATTTGTGACTTTTAAAAGTGCTGAAAGAGAAAAGCTTGCCAGCTAGTTGGTTATTTGGTTTTAAACTAGTTTTAATATATGCTACATACGTGGTATTCACCTTTAAACCAACACTTAATCAGAAGGATGTACAAATACGAAAATATATGATTAAGTGTGTGAATAGACGTTAAGTGGAAGCGATACAAAAATCTGCCTTCTGGCGTTCATATAATACAAATATTTACAAACAGTTTCATTTGCTCGACGCAACCCAATGCGGCATTACTTGTTTAAGATGCTTGACAGCACAGGGGCGTAAATGGGAAAACATTCAACGCGTGACGTAATATATCAGCCCATTTTAAATTTATTATTCTTCAACTTACTAGAATATTTAATGTTACAAATACAAAAGGAACTATATATTTACTTAATAATTCTGAAATCAGTTTTATTAATTTTTTTTCTGTCTGGGTCTTATTCCAAGTATGCGTTTCGGAAACATTTGCGTCACACGTTTCTTGATCGAGGAACTTACTATCATAACAAATATTTTTAATTCACTTCTTATTAGAGATGGCATAATAACTAAATTCTTTCATTCTCTGATTTCACAGGCAATAGACGAGGACTATCCAAAGAAAGAGCCAGGTTACATGCGACCTATCCGCTCGCGTATTAAGACGCCTTCCAACCTCCCGACAATAGACGCCTTTACGGTGCGCAGTAAGAAAAAGACCAATATATGGGAGGAGGCTTTAGGAGACATAGATCAGACTAAATTTATTAGTACTGTCCCGCCCAGTGCTAGATTAAGCCAAGACGAAAGAGTGGACTTACAGAAAGGTTGGGTTTTTCACCGACCCCAATCTCGCCTCGAGGACCTTAAAAAGGAAGCGGAGGAGATGGCTAAACTCAAAAATAAGAAGGATCCGTATAAAATGCACACCAAGAAGAAGAAGGGTGATGGCAGGAGTAAGAAGGAAATTATTGAGAAAATTGCCGCCGCCAATGCGGCTCTGGATGATGACGGCGCCGCGGATTACTCAACGACTTTTATCACACAGTTACCAACTGATCGAGAGCCCAAGGTGAAATTCTCTCAAAATTATAAGATTCATCCCTCCTCAGCTACAAGTGGTGGCGCAAGACAACATCGGCGAGCTGCAAATTCACAAAAACTTGACTCGTCCTTTCCGGCAGGGTTCGAGTCTAGCAGAGTAAAGCGCCACAGTGCGGGAATACAGACAGCTAGCAAGAATGACACAACCGTGGCATTGTCGTCGCCAAAGCGGACTGCTACGTCGGCCAGTTCTGTCGGTAGATCGGCGATCACTGACACATGAATCTAGTTTTAATTCTCAGCTAACTTACGGGTGTTTAATGGATGGAAAAGGGCTGAGATAAAACAAAACGTACAGTCGGAAGAAGAATCGACTGCGTGTACGTATACTGGCAATACCAGTACACTGAAAACGATGATAACCCAAAGCCAAAAATGCTTACAATACGCATAGGCTGATATGTGTGAATGCCACAAACCAACAGAGAAATTTAACAAAAATGTGTCAGCCGGCTTTCGACCAGTGTGAAGACATATTGCCCAATATGGATTCTCCCCGCTGTGCAGCACAAAGACCACGCCCCCGTGTCCTTGTCAGTTATTGTCACAAAAACAGATGCCATGGCAATTGATTTCCGCGGTAGTCAGTTTTCCCCGGAAAACATGCATTGTCAATATGTGAATTAGTTTCGAACTGTGATACTTCCCGGAAATCGGTCCGTCCTCTATATAGTATGCCATCGTTCCATTATTCACCGTGCCAACTTTATTACTTATATACCCCACTCACTTTACGCACACACATTGTACGCCATGCTAGTAGTTTCGTTGCCATTTGTTCAAACTAGAATACAGAATCATCTCTTTTAGTATAGAAGAGGTTCTGTGGGATGTATCGAATTGCAGGAGACGCTTCTTTGGGGATAAAGGGAGATATACACCTCATTTGCAATCATCCCTCGTAAGCATGTATGTTGCCATGGGTTTTGTTTTATGATATAATCGTGACTCTATCAAGCCAAAGCCAGGACGAGATTATCACTGTCTTGATAACGACTTTTTTGCCGTTGCTCGAATTGTGTGAGAAGCGCAAAATTTAAGTCTTCCAACCCTGTGTGCTATAGAACCTCATTAAAAAATAAAAAAAAACTCGTGCAGAGTTTCACTAGAGCATTTCGAATAGCAAGACTCACCAGAGAGAAAGAAACACATATCTGTGTCAGTGTAGAGAATTCAAGCCGTTGTCGGGTTAAGATTCGATGAAAATTTTGAGCTCAGGGTGAAAATGCTCTAGACAGTGTAAGAGAAATTATTGAGATTAAAATGTGGAATTCCGATCCCTCCGAGAAATGCAACTGTGATGTATATATATATAACTATCAATCATAGACTTGTACATGAAAAGGTCCACTGTACTCGTCATATTATCAGTGACAGGCATTTCTGTGATGCGGATGTCATTCCGTAATACGCATAATTGTTATTCAATTTTTAGATCAAAGTTTACATTGTGGCGTCATTTCTACGCAAAGGCAAATTACGACGTTATCACCATTTATACACGATTTGAGTTTTCATGTCATAGTCTATACCTTACGCACCAGTTCAACATGACGACAGTATAAAAAGCAATACGCACCATTCTTCACTGAAGCCATGCAAAATGTTTTTGCTACACATCAAGTGTATCGTAAATGGTTAAAGTTTTTTTTTTTTTTGTTTGTTTTTGTGTTATTAACTCTCCATGTAAAATGTTACATTATCTTTAATTTACTGATTGCTTACATTTGACAAAGTTAAATGTAAAAGGTTTGTTAACAGAAAGTCTTGTAGTCTTTTATTAATCAGTTTTCATCCGTCGTTCACATCTGGTAATTTGAAGTTGTACAGGAAAAGCAAATAATAATAATAATAATAATAATAAATTAGTAATAATAATATTTTTATTATTATAATTATAATAGAAGAAGAAAAACAAGAAAAACTTCCACTGCAATGCTTCAAAAATTATCTGGATAATATTTTGTTTGAGGAAGAACAAATTCCTAGATATAGCTCTGATATCATTTTGTCATCTTAATACAGAAATTATATTAGTTTTATCTGTGTAAGAAAATGAATAATTGGAATTAAATGAATGGAAAAAGATTAAGACCATTTTACCTGTGCTTTAACTTGTATGAAAATTCATCATCAGATATTACAAAGTTAACCATCATTGTTAAAGAGCCAGTTTCCACACACTGATATGCTGATGTTTATAAGAAAATGAAGCATTTTAAATATTCCTCAATAATAAAAACAGTAAATAGAATGCTTCGGAATGTTTTGGGAAACAAACACATAAAATGTTTTCACTATAATCAATGACACATACAAAATTGTATCATTAATGGAAGCCTTCACTAATAATTTACCTGGCATAATAAACATTGATGTTTGGCATGATTTTGAAATGCAAGGTTCAATGCATAATTAAGACTGCAAGGAAAATATGTAAATGGTACATGTTTCAAGATTTGATTGCATGAAAGCAATAACATAAATCCTATAAAATTATTACATATTATAATAAAAAAAAACCCTTTAATAACTTTACTCAAAATAGCACCAATGGATAAAAAACTGTAAACTTTTACAGGTGACTTGATTCCATCTCGTAAGAGTCGTAATTGGGTCTGTCTTGGATCAACTCCTCTCTGCTGACACCTGCCGATGGATCTCTCCACCGAGGCTCGTCTTCAGCTCTGTTTCTTTTCAAACTGGTACTATTTTCAACATTCTTCCTGTCAGCAAAGCAGCGAAAAATATCCAATTTTTCAGACACAACATGTTTTGAAAACGCAGCTTTGGCGAGGCAAGAAACAACCACAACTGTCAGCAAAGAGACTAGCATGGCAAAAGTTCTAAAAGGAAACAGCTGCCCGCTGGTTTCGCTGTAAAATGGATATTTTATAAACACCGGCAAATGTATGAAGCTCTCTCCTGCCCCAAGTCTTAGTAAAAGTCCGACTATATAACCAACTATGGCTCCATATGTGTTTGTGTGCTTTTTAAGATATACCACGCATATCAGCTGAGGTAAGATGATCACAAAGACGATGTCTGCCGCCAGGATGAACAGGAAGTATACTGTGTGGACAAATATGGCCATGGTGGTTGCTATGACACCCACACCTACCACTGTGATTCGCTGAACCCACAGAAGCTCTGCCTCTGATGCCTGATAAACAAAAAATAAAAACATTACCTTAAAATTTAGTACCAAAGATGCCCAACTCAGTTCTAATATTAATAAGAAGAAAGAAAACAACTGTTACAATAAGATTAAGTCTTCTAAGAGGCTTTTTAATGATGGTTATTTTCTGTATGACTCTGAAGCAAAGGAAAAGCACTACTTGTACCTCCTGTACAACCAGCACTAAAATTCATGCATTAGCACTAGTATTTAAAAAGACAATGTACCAGTAAAGCCATCTGGTTGGTTTTGTTTTTGTTTTAATTTTGTTTGGGTGACTGTATTAGATACTATGATGAAGATAAATTGCATAATATGATCAATATAACATAATCCGTATAGCAATTCCATACTGCCCTCCACTTACCTTCTTTCTGAATACTTTATTGTAAATGTTGTGTGTGAACATTGAACTGGAGCCCAGGACTGAGCTGTCTGCAGAGCTCATTACTGCAGCCGAGACACCACCCAGGGCTGGAAGATAGGGAGATAAAATGATGATATATAGGGATGTGGAACATGTGCACTGCAATGTACAGAAATTAATATATAATCCAACTTATTTACTGAACTCCAGGTTAAATGAGATGTGTGTCGCCTTGCCCTTACTAAACCTTGATGAAATTTAAATCACATTGGATGCAAGTCCACCACAGTTTGATTTTAAATTCTAAGATAAAAAGTTATTCATAAGGTGATATATAATATAAATAGTTCAATTACCAATAACTGCTACAGCTGGTGGAGTGAAGTAATGGATGACATAAGGAAGGACCAAGCTGGATTCATTTCTGTCCATGGGGGATGAACCCAGGTCTGTTGTATTCCACTCTATGGATAGAAAGGAAACAGAACAAAAATTTTTAAACAAATGAGAATGCCTTTCCCATCTCTTGCTAGTCAGATATCAATGTTGTGTTCCACTCTATGGATATAAAGGAAACAAAATAACAGTTAATACAAAAAAGAGACTACTTTTTTTCCTCTCAATTTGTCAGATGCCATTTTTGTGTGTTTAAAAATGTTTGTAAATCTAATTTAAATCAGGCATTTTAATGTGATGATTTTTTTTCGCTTTCCAAAACATTACAAAACATATAATATAACCCTTTCCAAAAGTAAGAATCAATATACGGAGTTATAATTTCCAGATGTTTTTTTTTTTCAATTGGGTATGGATTACAAACTGTAAATCATCTCCCAATTAGAAAGGCGTTATCTCATTAACAGGCAGACAGACAGATAAATATACTCATGTGATAAAATAATATATTTAACAGATGACGTAGCCATCATGACATACAAACATCAGTTCATATTTCACAGTACCTGCAGACCTAGCCACCGCCCCCAGTAGCAAGGGGGGTACAGCCATGACCAGTGCTGCCACCCCTCCTACAACAGAGAGGACCTGGGCCTCGGAAGACCCTTTCACTGACAGCACTCTCTGGAAGTACGACTGCCAGGGGATGCTGCCCAAGGTCTAGAAGAAAATAAGGGGCACAATGTAGTTAAAAGTAGTCTTGAGTTGGGCCTGCACAACTAATTTGTTTTTATATCTATACAACTTTTTTTTTTTCGTAGACTGATGTAAGTTCATCTTTCCAGGTCTATAGTATTCATGAAAAACAATGTTAAACTGTAAAACTTTATCCCAAGCTCAACGTCCCTCTTTGATGTGGACAATAGCTCATCTTCATCAAATCAAAGATACCAGCAACAAATTTCTTTTTCTTTGCCAATATAGTTCACTTCCATGATTCAGTATTCCAAGAGCCTAGAAATTTCTTACCATTGCGATGAACAAATCCACCCATGCAGCTCCCAGGCTGGCATCCAATTCTCCTCCCCACTCTGAGGCAGTTTCCACGATGCTGCCCACAGAGGGATGGGTCAGGGCAAAAGGCACTGAAATCACCTGTATAAGACAATTTACAGAAACTTTAAACAAAAGGGGGGAAACTGTATTAATTCTGGCAATTACAGCTGTATACTGGTCATTTCAATCAGTGGTCTGTCACAAACAAACAAACGTCCAAAGCATAGAATTTAGCTACTACATCAGTTAAACACTATACAGCGAATAATTCAGTAACTTTAATATAGATAAGTCATTCAGTCATACTTCAAATAAATATTTTCAAAGAAATCTATTCCTGGATTTACCATATCATAAACAGATATTTCAGTTGGTCTAATGAGAATATGGAACATCTACACAGATTACATAACAAGACTGAGAATAAGGTTCCACCTGCTGAAGTTCCACCTGCTGAAGTGTTTAAGAGGGGGACACCGCTTCATCAATTTGGCTTAACACCAAGTCCAGGAATGAATTGCAAAAATATTCATATGATAAGGTATAACTCACCATGGCGACAACAATGAAGACAAGTTGCACTATGTCTGTATATGCCACTGCTAACATCTGGCCAAACTGTGTGTATGTGACAGTGACACATGCTGACACTATGATTGACAGTGTGACATCCAGGTCCACAATGACACTTAGACTGGTGCCTTAAAATAAAATTTGACAGTTGCATTATGGGAGAGAAGAAGTCATATTTGTAATGCTATGATCTTCCTGATGGTAAAAGTAAAGATCAGTAAAGCCCATGTCATCAACATTTTAACATCAAATATGAATTAAGTGACAGTTACAGCAGGACAACATATTGGTTTTCATAAGATATAATGAAATGTAATCTGCTGTCAAAATATAATTTCCTTTTCTATTTACAAAACTACTAATGATTGTTTGCCCCACTAAACATTTTATAAGTTAACAACATCACCTTAAATAAGTGTTAAATAATTTGAAGTTTCCAGATTTTTTCAGTCAATGTTGAAACAAAATAGGGATAACAATAAGGATACAATCATTATTACATATATTACATATATTAAGGTGTAGAAACCAGGCATAAGGAACCATCTTCTGATTCTATAAACATTAGGCATTGTAACATTATGTCAAGCAGCAGCTTCAATTCTTATTTTCTTCAGGTACCTCCCCCTAAAAAAGATCGAGCTCAGTCTCACCAAGAGCGGCCAGTATGGAGGATGACCAGAAGATGTCCCCACACAGAGCTGTGATGTACAGCATTCCGGTCACCGTGTCCCCATAGAGAAGCTGAAAGGGGTCAAGCATGGTCAGGTATCTCTGGTCCCTCATTGGTTTGGCAAAGAAAAGACCACCTGAATTAACAAAAATTAATATTATCTTAATATTATAGAAAATAGGGCCACATGGCTATTTTTTAGGCATATCATACATATACATCTCATAGTGTTAGTGTGAGCATGCCCAAGGTAAAAAAAAAGGCACCAAGGTAGTTGTGATCGACATTGTGCTAAAATAAAATAACTAGAGGATCAGAGAGGCGATACCGCCTCCGAATATTGTACCACCAGCTGGAGCAAGCGCATTCGTATAGACCCCCACATACACAAAATAAGGGACACAGCCACCAGTTTTGTGCTTGACAAGCTGTAAAAATGCAATCAACAAGAATTTTTAAACTATTGCAAAAATATATATATGGTACAATCAAATTTAAGTTCTTCGTAAGGTAGGTCAAGGGTCAATTTCAAGGTCACAGTAAATTGCCAGTATATGACTTCCTATTCAAGTTCAAGAGTAACTATGGACCTATCTCTGTCAAGTTTGAAGTTAAAAGAGAAAGAAATTAGCAGAGTTCAGTTCATGATAAAAAGTAGGTCAAAGGTCAATTTCAAGGTCACATTTAGATTGCCAGTATATGACTTTCTATTCAAGTTCAATAGTAACTATGGACCTATCTCTGCCAGTTTTGGAGATAAAAGGGAAGCAAAATTTGCAAAGTTCAGTTTATGGTGAAAAGTAGGACAAAGGTCAATTTTAATGTCACATTTATAATGCCAGTATATGACTTCCTATTCAAGTTCAATAGTAACTA